GAACAGTGCAAGTTTATTCAGTTTCGTTTCGTTATATATATATATATATATATATATATATATATATATATATATATATATATATATATATATATATATATATATATATATATATATAAACGAGGACAGTTTGGAAACATTTTCAACCAGTCTGTGAATACATGTTGAATCTTTAAATCAGAAAAAAATCTATATTAATCACAATAAAAAACTGGGGAATCGAATATCACAACGAACCGACCAGCGTTAAATATCTTTAGTTGTACCTTCGGCAGAATTGACATTGAAGACGGGCTCAACTGTATTATGTCATGTCACGACTTATTTATTATTGTATTCATAATTAATACGGCCATATGCCAGACTAAAATTGTGAAAAGTATTAGCACTTTCATATCAGATTGTTTATCTTACTATGTGTCTCTGGGAATTGTGCAAGCATGATTGATTAGGTCACATGACATATTGTCCATTATTATTCAGGCATTTATTATAAACATGTCATACTATTTGTTGTTAAAATCGCCAACTCTCTCATATCAACTCCCACGTGGTTTTGGGGAAAAATATCATTCTGCACATTTTACAACACAAATTGGGTCCTTGCCAGCAAAAGAAGACCATATACCATATTTCGTATACTACTAATATGTCGTAACCCAAGGACAATACAAAGTACATGAAAAGCCTCCAGAGAAGTTGCAATGCACAATACACAACAAGTGAGCAATTTTCGTGCAGGTTGCGAAATGAGTCATACAATTTGACGAAAGTCTGCCTCAAATTACCTCAAATAAAGCAAATCACATCATATGTGGGCGGGATATATATATATATAAATTAGAGGAATCAAAGTTTTTTTCATAATAAAACTTATTTTTGTAACCTGAGAAACGAATTATGATTGGATAATTATGATTGGGTTAAGATGAAAATAAGCTATTTAACTTTGACGGAACTTTAACTTTGAGAGAGAGAAATATTACATGTGTATGTAGTAATTTATGTATATGTGGCAGTTTATGTGTATATGGTAATTTAAATGAAACCAGGAAGTCATAATAAGTAAGAATTTGAGATACAACAATTATTAAATGGACATATTATAGGGTAGCACAAGTTTTTAATATAATAGTCTTTCGTTTGCAAATGTTTTGCAAATCTCACTTAAGATCTGTTTCTAGTTCGATTTTTCAGTCAAAATTCAAATGGGCGACGCAACATTTCACAACAATGGAAGCACGAGGAATTCGCTTGTAATATTTGTTTCCATTAAGTAAATTCCGAACAATACATTGTTATAAACCAACGACTATTCGTTGCAAGGCATTTACAAACTTTCAGAACAGAATTTCAGAAATTACAGTACAAAAATCAACTTTTGGCCAATTTTGTACCCTTCCTAAATGGCTGAAAAAATGTCAATTGTTATCACAGACGAGTTGAAAAATTGTTTTCCTCCTAAATAATGTATATACTTTCGTGTACCAACATGAATTAAAAGGATCTTATTAATAATAATGTAGCGAAAATATAAGACACCGTAATTGTGTTTCTATGACTTTGGCCTAGCTGTAGGAATGAAAAGACGTGAAAACAATGATCTATTTCTGGTCGGCAAGAGCGTCAGTTCGGAAGACTGCGCTCGAAAACGTATTGATGAGAATAGCTGTTATCAATATGTCGGTGAGTTCTTCAAATTTGCGTATGGAATTACGTGTACCAATCACTACTTTATTATAACAGTTTACCAAATATGTTAAAGCAGGAGAGTCGTCACCTGTGCATGCGTCAGATGGTAACAGTGTGTCAAACAAGCGTCTACCCTTGAGCCTTTGCGTTTTAGAGTGTGTTGTTATCGTCGGTTGGGACTCAATTCCCGTGTGTGCGCAGGTGACGCTTTAATTTTAATTTCTCGCTTTAAATTTAAAAGCAACACAGTTATTGCAGGCCATTCTAAATTGAAGTAGATCATGGTCAATATATTTTTCAGACTACAAACTCCTGGGTCAAGTTTTATGTTGCTTATATTTCCATTAACAGATATGCTTGCTAGTGCTTTTAAAATAATACGCCGAATATAGCAACAAATTGCCCCCGTGTAGACCGAATTCAATATACACGCATGCGTACTGAGTTGACAAAAAAAATGTTGGTCTTTATTTGGTAAATACATAGGTTGCAAACATTGTACTTTGGTGTAAATAAGCGTATGTATTTTGTCAATACGTGAGTATAAATACGTTCACACGTTTGGAGGCTTAGTTGCCCCTATATCAAGTTCTATGTCAAGTTTCACTAGGATAGATCGTCGCACCGCGTGAACGAATTTCATTGAAACAATGAAATTGACATGCTTTGAATACATCGCTATGGAGTAACATCGAATACAAAACAAACGCAGACATACCGAAAGAACGGGACCTTACACTGAATTCAAATATTAGAGTCGTAACAATAAAAGGCACATTTATTTCACCTTGGGAGGCAGACAAGAGAACATAACAATTATTATCAATACAAATATATAGTTTATACAAGAGCGTCTTAAGCGGGAAAAGTCGTAGATACCTTTGTTTTTATCTTGACGTACAAAACGATTTCAAGTATTTTCAGACCCTTTCCATTCGCAAAACGCTGTTTCTTCTCACCCCAATATTTACGATAATTATCCCTCCCAACATATAAACCAGTTTAATAAGCAATTCATGTCCATGACGTCATCTACTGAAAGTTCTACTTCAATAATATATCTATGTACAAGTCTAACTGCTTTCTGTTCTCTTGAACGAGCCGTAGAGGACGCTCTGACAGGGTGAAAATGTTTAACATCCCAAAAAGAGACACTTACATTAATAAAAATATCATACAGAAAATATTGTTACAGATTGAAGAATTAGTGAGAAACTAGCAAATATTTACAAATAATTATTCAACTTGTTTGTAACAGTGAAAACCACTGAACACCCATAGTCCCAAGCATATTCCACACACACACAGAAAATATAGATTTTATGCTTACATTTAGTGTCATTTTATTGATACCCAGCCAATATTACCATCTTATAAATATATCTCGATTTAAAACTTCCGAAATGAGCCAAATTCTGTAGATACTGAGATGTAACATGTACATTACACGCCAATTAAGATGTGACATCCACAAGACACACCTACCGAGATGAGATATCCAGAGGTCATGGTCGCCGAGATTTGACATCTACAAGATACACTGAGATGTGACACACATATGACACGCCAACTGTTACGTGACATCCACTGGACACTTCCACTGAGATGTGACACCCATTTGACACGCCAACTGTTACGTGACATCCACAGGACACATCCACTGAGATGTGACACCCATATGACACGCCAACTGCTACGTGACATCCGCAGGACACATCAACTGAGATGTGACACCCATATGACACGCCAACTGTTACGTGACATCCACGGGACACATCCACTGAGATGTGACACCCATATGGCACGCCAACTGTTACATGGCATCCACAGGACACATCCACTGAGATGTGACACCCATATGACACGTCAACTCGTACGTGGCATCCCCAGGACACATCCACTGAGATGTGACACTCATATGACACGCCAACTGTTACGTGACATCCACAAGACACGTCCACTGAGATGTGACACCCATATGACACGCCAACTGCTACGTGACATACACAGGACACATCCACTGAGATGCGACACCAATTTGACACGTGACATCAAGACGACGCGTCCATTGAGATGTGACAGCCATATGACACGCCAACTGACACGTGACATCAAGAAGACGCGTCCATTGAGATGTTATATCCACAGGACACGGCCACTGGGATAAGCCATCCACAAGAAACTGCAGATAAGAGAGGGGACATCAACATGACAGGCCCACTAAGATGTGATATCCACAGAACTCTTCGATGATTATTCTGAGGCATGACATCCACATCTACAGGACACGGTCACATAGATGTGACATCACATGACCGACCTATTTTTAAACACATTTCAAGTACCTTAGCCTCATGTAAAACTAAAAAGATTATTTCAGAGAATAAATTTCACATCGTAGTCATGTATATATTGGAGCATGAATCAGTCATACAATAGTACAGAAATGCAATCCGACGTGACGTCATTGTGACTTTGCAATGTACGTAGCGCATGACAAACAACTTATATAATTTGGTATATTGTTTCAATTTCGATATGTTTATTTCCGTGTTATGCATGGCATTTTGCTCTCTACCAATTTAGAAGATGTGATAATTATTATCGTCGCTGTTGCCATGACAGTTGTGATTTGACGTGATTCCTCTCAGTCTAGATACACGATTGGGCATAATATAATTTAAAATTCGTCTGCTATTCGTTAAATAGATTATATATACAATTAACATACTAAAATTACACACTGTTTTAAAATGTGAATATTTAAAGTTGTAAACGTCAATATGAAATACCATAAATACGTTGTGTACACATGCATGAGCCCAGCAGCATCGTACGGCCATTTTCGCAGTTATAATGGCTGTCAGATAGATGCTTAATTCTAAATATGACGCAAACCAACATTATAAGGGTATTCAGGAATGGTTAAAAGTCAATAGATGAACAAAAAGTATGAATCTCGTATGTTAGATGTGTTGTGATTGGCCAACATATATTGTATATCATATATTGTACAAGTGTTAGACGCCATTGTAACTAACTCGAGCGTACTGGATTAAGCGAGCCAGACTGTTCTGTCAGACAGGTCAATCAACGTTACCATTATCTTGTCACTCGATACTGCGTACATTAACAATACCATGTTGTACGCCGTTCGTTATAATAAATAATAATAAATATGCATTCCCGGTGACGTCAGTCTCATTTTCTAGCGATCTTTCTGCGACCCGTGTACATTTCGCACATCTCCTGTGTATTTATTTCATGATCAGCAGTAAATGTCCATTTCCATGATTGCACAAGCGTTATCATTTCAAGTCGATGTCCTCCTCGTCATCGACAGATGAAGATAGTCTGAACGGCGAGGAACTTAAACTGGACATGGAGTGGCTCGCCGAACTCGCCCGTTCTGAAGTTGAGGAAGAATGTAGACCCAACAATTCAGAGCGTGGATTACACAAGTCGGCGGGAGTAGATCCTACCCTCCCCATCAATCCTTTGGCGGGTGATTTTCTAAGAAGTTCAGTTCGGGCATCCGGTTCAGAATTTGTCGATCCGGTTCGCTCGGGAACTCTATTTCGGTGCCCGAATCGGAAACCTGTGTTGTGATGATCCGGTTCCGACTGGGTGGAATTCTGCCGTGACCCAACGTTCGAACCAAACAGTTCTGCTCGTGGATCCACTGGGTCCAATAATGTATCATAGCTACTCCTTGTTTTTGCCGATGTGAATAAATCAGAGCGAGAGTCGCGCTCCATCCACACTGGTGGTGGTGAGTTCGTCTTGGAGCGAGGTGGCGCTGTTCCAAACAATTCTGCACGTGCGTCATTGATTGTCAGAGGATCGTTGGCACCGCGATAATGAATCCGTTTTCCTCGTTCGAGCGGTGGATGCCTTCCTAGGCGCGGTGACGTCATCCTCTCGTCCATCTGTACGTACCTACGCACTCCGTTATCTGGGATATTCACAATAGGGGTAATGATGTTTGGTGGTTGTGGTTTGGAAGGCGCTGGTATCGGACGTTCTGTCATCTGACCAACCAAACAGTTAAGAGGAATCTTGAACACTTGTATTGCCTGTGGACTGGGAGGCCCTGAAAGAGGAACGATAAAACATGGACATTTGAAAAAGGCAATAGACCCGGGTGTGTAACTGCTATAGAGATATTTCAAATTCATGCATATTCTAATAAGGGGATTATTTTCGTTCAACGTAATTGCAATATTTTTTTTGTTCGTACAACGTAAATTGAAAAAATAAATTCCGTAATTCTGTAATCACAGGCTAGACGTACAACGTAATCAATCAAATATTTTTTTCGTACACTGTAAAAATGTGTCATTTTTCTCGGTACGTACAAGAATTTACATCCAAAATAAAAAAAGTCGTAAAGAACAATCCAGGGAAATTACATTTTCGAAACTGTAAAACGACTAGATGACACATTTCACTGCAAAATTCAATTTTCACTGTAAACTGTAAAAACGTCTTTTTTTCCCTGGTAAATTGTAAAAAGCCCTTTTTATTTCCCGTAAAACTGTACCAGCTACCCCCTTGCCTCCTCTCTAATAATATCCCACGTATGTGTTGCACACTGGGCACATCATGCACTACCATGGTATACGAACTGCTTGATTACTCTGCTCGGTACGAACTCGCGCACGCTACCAATTTTGATAACGCGAAGCGAGTTAGAGCAGTAAACTCACCCGATGACGTAGGCGAACCAAGGGGACTGAGTGGACGGCTTTGACCATTCTCCTTTCCACTTGAGTTCCCAGTCTCGCCAGCACACGTTGTAAAGTATAAGTCAGACTGAGAATAGAAATACGACACGAATACAAGGTTACGGTGAAAATGCTGTATTGTAAGTGTACGAGGCGCGGAATGTAAATTTATTATTTTGTGTATACTAGAAGAAAACGTACTAATAATTCAAAATTACGTACGTATTGGAGGCCGTGGTGTGTGTGTTTTAAAATGATGTGTGCATTTTAAAAAAACGGCGTGACTGTGCGTTTAATGGTATGTGCTTTAAAAAAATCATGTGTGTATATTAAATGGCGTGGGTGTTTTAAAAAACGTGTGTTTTAAAAATGACGTGTGAATTAAAAATGATGTGTGTCTTAAAATGACGTGTGTGTTTACAATTATGTGTATTTAAAAAAAATGTGTGTGTTTAAAAGGCCATGTGTATTTTAAAAATAATGTGTGTGTAAAAACGATGCGTGTGTTTAAAAACGACGTGTGTGTTTTTAAAAATGACGTGTGTTTAAAAACACGTGTGTGTGTTTAAAAATGACGTGTGTGTAAAAACGATGCGTGTGTTTAAAAACGATGTGTGTGTTTTTAAAAATGGCGTGTGTTTAAAAACGACGTGCGTGTTAAAAAAATGACGTGTGTTTAAAAATGACGTGTGTGTTTTTAAAAATGACGTGTGTGTTAAAAACGACGTGTGTGTTTTTAAAAATGGCGTGTGTTTAAAAACGACGTGCGTGTTAAAAAAATGACGTGTGTGTTTTTAAAAATGACGTGTGTTTAAAAATGACGTGTGTGTTTAAAAATGACGTGTGTGTTTTTAAAAATGACGTGTGTGTTAAAAACGACGTGTGTGTTAAAAAATGACGTGTGTGTTTTTAAAAATGGCGTGTGTGAGGTCGAATGAAAATTTCGTGTGTGTAAAAAGAAAAAAACGCGTGCATTAACTTATTTACGCCTGTGGGGGCGCTGTTTTGAATAGATTTTTTATTCGTGTGTGTGTGCAAAAAAACGCGTGCGTTAACCTTTTTACGCCTGTGGGGGCGCTATTTGAGAGATTTTTTTTCGTGTGTGTGTTAAAAAAATCGCGTGCATTAACCTATTCACGCCTGTGGAGGCGTCGTCTCAAGTGGTAGCCATTTTCGTTTGTGGATTTCTCTAACGTCAATAAGGTACGTAAAAAGGAACTTGTCCAGCACGAACATTTTATTCATTCTGCTCTATAAATTTACCGACACTGTGTATACCTCAGCGACCTTTTGATTTATTCGTGTGGGTGGTTGCTGAGGACGTCTAGTACAATGGGGCAGAACAAAGTACTCGTACTGGTCTCACAGGCGCTCGGAACGTTTCTTGGATAATAAAAAATGACCTAAAGTAGGGTCGGCATAGTTAATCAGTCGCCGGCACATTCGCCTACCACTCATATGATAACACAAGGTAGGAAAGCGTTCACACCGTGACACCGAAATTGTCCGAAAATAACACGATTTTTAAAATTGTATTTCGATCCACTTCACACAACTCAAGCATG